TTAATAGAAAGAGGGTATTTTTGTACGTTTTATAACTTAATTGGATCTTTTTACACAATAAAATCTTTTCAACCCTTCCAATGAGGCGTTCTGAGTAACATTGAGTCACATGTGTGGGACTCACATGGAAATACAAATTTCATACAAAGTATACAATTTTGGTTACAAGTACCCCATAATGTCAGCTCTAAAATTAGATTGTCTATTTTCATCATTATTGCAGTTACTCCATTGTTCTACAAGAAGTGAATCTCTTATTGAAGCACATGTAAAGTGTGATACTAACTTTATTCACCTTTAATTAATTTCACTTCAAAATTCAGCGAAAAATCCCCCAAAAATATGTTTTAAAATATAATTCAAGCTAAAATAAAGTTTTCTATATTCATAAACATAAAATTAATTGTTATAAAAACTGTGATAGTGAATGCTGGATTTGACTAATCAGTTGACGACCACCAAAACTATAAACATTATAAACATGTTGAAAAACTACAGACACGACATACACGAATAAATTAATATGCTTTAATCCTAACATGTTGTGTATACTATAAATATGCCAGCAGCTCTCCCAACTATGGTTATAGGTATATTGTTTATTAATTCACACTCGATTTCACTTCAATTTCCATACCGTATGGTGTAAGCTGTACAATAGGATTCTGCATGTAGGTTATAACCCATTAATATGAGGAGACCATACCAACCCATCAGTACAATACAACATAAAAATTTGGGAATGGACAAAATTTGTCAAAATTTGTCAGTTGTTTCAATTCACAACACAGGTTGTTTGCAAATCCATTGCATAATTAGAAATTATACTGATTATATTAACCACCTTTGGACATTGCAGTGACAGTCGGTGTTGATAAGCTCACAATGTGTTTTTTTTTTTAATTAGCATTTTGTGGTGATACATGTAAAAGAAGAATTCAAAACTTGGCATTCTGTATGTAATTTTATTAATATTTATAATCATTAGATTGTTAACAAGTTTTCAAATTTACAATACTGCAGTAAAAAATGTCTCTTAGGTTAATTATTGCAAATTGTAAACACATTCAAAATCGTAAACAACGATCAATGGTGAACAAATAGCAATGTTTTTTGCCACTTTGGTTTGCTACACTAAGTGGTTTGTTTGGATTGACAGAATAACTAAATATAAACGTAGACATCACATGTTGCAATGTCCTCACTGTACTGCTTGTATGCATAATTTGCGGCTATAATCCTTAAAATAACACAATTTATGAATTATGACTAGAAAAAACACATAGCTGATTTGATCAGCGAGCACTTGAGAGGCAGTATTTCAATATGCAAATGAAGTTACTGATACTTTATATCAATTAATCTTGCTAGGTTCGTAATAATTAATTTAATTTTTCGAAGTGTGACCCATCCATGTACTAGGTAGACACCGAAAACAATGGAATTAATTTGTACGTAAAACACCATATGAACATGCACAGCGCAAAACGTTTATATTATTACAAGCAGGGAAGTGTAGTTCAATATTAGAGTTATCGCAAGGATACCGCAAATTATGTTCTCAGGCAGTACGGAATTGCATCAACCTTCCTTACACTTCAGTCAATACAATCCCCCATACCTTTGTTCCTTTGTGGTAATCTTGTAATACATGTAATCTCACAGTAACCAGTAAGTAGCCAATTACTGTGAAATACTTTATTTTAGCTGGAATTAATTTTCGCTTAAGGACTTTTCAAGTGTTTTGTATGGAATTCATTTTTAACTGACTTTTGACAAGTTGAATGTAAAATATCAGAAAAAAGGTATATTCGCTGGATTTCATTTTCACTGAATCATTCCTTCAGCAGACATGTAAATAGCGAAAATTAAATCCAAGCGAAAACAAAGTATTTACAGTATGCCATTTTAAAAATAAAATTATGTGTGAAATGTAGATAGTATTTGCTTTAAGAGTAGCGTATGTGCTTATGTATGACAAGGGTGACTCTACGGACAAAAAATTATTTTAATAATCCAGCATATAATTAATTACATTAGTTGCCTATGTGCGCTTCTATTGGAGATGATGGGCTTCTAATAGAGCAAGTATGGTATCCTGTAAATGCATTAATTATTCACTGGGTTTTAATTTTGCTATTTTCATTAATAAGTAAAATCCACTAAATTAAATCTACATGAAATTGTAAAATAACAATAAAACTCATTGTTTCTTTGACAAATTTGTGAAATTAAAACACAGTAAATAGGCTCAAAACATCAAAATAGTGAAATGAAATGTCAGTGAAAATAAATGGTTTTACAGTACATGTATAATATAAAACTTTTATAAAACATTATAATTTATTTCTCACTTAATATGATATGCAAACAATAATTTAATACAGGTCTTCGATGTACAACACTCGCATAAATTATGATACTTTGTGAATAACCTTGTAACATAAATTATTTTTAAGTACAGTATACTCAAGCCATTTAATGTATATTCCTAATTAACCGAGTAGGCATATAAAGTAAAAAAAATGTCCGCATACATTCTATTCTAATTACACAAATTGATGGAAAATTATCCAAATCCCACGGATAGTTTTACCAGAATTCAAAAAGACGTTCCTGCCCAGCGGGTTAAGTGTTAGAGACATTTGCATCACAGTGGTAATTATTGCCACTGAATATGTACAATGTAAGCAGGTGGCTTTATTGTAATCTCTAGCTTCATTTTCAGTATTTTAATTCCTTGCACTGAAGCAAACTTAGCATCGCCTCAGAGCTAAAGTAGGCTTTAGCCTTTTCAACACCAGTTTCCTTTTTTTATTTATCACAAATTCACAAAATAATCCCATTTATAGTCTGTACTTTCCTTCGGAAGATTGGAACAAAAATACTGTAGAATACTTTATTTTAGCTGGAAACAATTTTCGCTGAAAACACTTTTCAAGCATTTTGTATGGAATTTATTTTCACTGATTTTTGACAAGTTGAATGTAAAATATAGGAAAAAATGTATATTTGCTGGATTTTATTTTCACTGAATCATCCCTTCAGCGAAAAATTAATTCTAAGCGAAAATAAAGTATTCTACAGTAGCCAAATTTTTTTTTAGTAAAAATTAAAAATTGACTCAAATTTGGTCGTTGGCTCCAAAATTAGGTTTGAAAATTACTGCAGAAAAAGACGAGTTTGGGTGTGAAAAGGTTATTAGTGCTTAGATGCTACGAGGGAAAGTTCAGTATATTTAATACCCTACAATGGAAGTGGACAGAAGGGTTACAGTACAGATAAGATTGCTTATGTTAACATAGTTACATGTGGCAACTATATTATATCATATTTCAATAACAACATGCTTCCATTGTCAGTGGTGAATACAGTGTATCAAATTTTTTCTTTTTTTTTTACAGGGTTTCTAAAATGTTCTAAAATCATTTTTGAAAATTATGCAATTTGAACAAAAAAATAAAAAAAAGTTTGTCATTTTATTTTTTTTAAATTGATGTGAATGTGAGATTTTTTATTTAGTTTTATTAAAGTTGTCATGGAAATTAATTTTTTTTAATTTTTCCAAAATTTTGGCAAAAAATAAAAAAAATTCACACAATTTGAACTGACATGAGCTGATATTTTTTTTATCTGGGCCTTATACATAGTACTACGATAAACAATTTCAACTACTTTTTAATAATTATAAAAAAATCAATAATTACAAAAACATTTACCCTTTAAAAGTGCTAATCGCCTTTTAAAAAAAAGACATCATGCACGCCAGCGAAATCATCGCCAACAATTTACAATTGCAACTTAAAAAATAATGAATTTCACTTTCGCAATGTGTTATGTAATCGCAAATATTTGTAAACTGTATTTTGATTGGTTAAAAGCATTCTTGACCTGTAAGGTCATAGACGCCACAATAGGTCAACTTGTGAAGAAGAAAACATGGCGAATACGGAATTGACTGAGTAGTCATTTGTTCGCAATAACATGAACTTGAAATTTACATGCATGTAAAATTGTTTGTAAAGAACTTAAAGCGGGGGAGTCGTCACCTACGCATACGTCAGACGGGCCATAGAGTGTCATTGTTTACAAACATGCGTCTACCCATGAGCCTTTGCATTTTTAGCGTGAGTTGTTATCGTCGCTTGGGACTCAATTCCCGCGCGTGCGCAGGTGACGACCCTCCCGCTTTAATAATAACTGATGCAGTTAGAACCTTGGAAAAGTAAGTTATTTTGGTGTGTACAGCTATGATCATTCACCTGTTCTGATTTTTAGAGTAGTCGAGTACCGTATGTGGAAGGTGATATATTGAAGATAATATTTGGTAATCGTAGTCCTAAATAACTATTTTTTGTATGTGGAAGTTGATGTATTACCAGTCTAAGTGATACATGTAACCCAAGATTCAAATCATTGATTATACGCACACCTAGCCGTTCCATCAACACCGTATAATGTCGCTATCTGTTATTAGATTTATACTCGGTGATTCATTTCCTATGATATCAATCATCTGCCCGATCTTAATAGCATATCCGTGTACAAGACGTGGCATAGTGACGACATGAATATTTATGAGGTGACAGAGAAACAGCCAGTACATTTCAAAAGTGTAAACGACAGGTTTAGGAACTTCAAAAGCTATCATTTTGATGAACCATTTTGCCGTTCTCAAATTTACAGACAAGCATTCAAAGCTATAATAATTCAGCATCAAATTTAACCAATTTTCAGTCAAATTAAAGGATGCCAGTCACTCATTATTGTTATTTGGAGCTTATAACCGCATGAATATAATGAATGTCATGGTTTTCCCCGCCAGATTGTAGGTCAACCATTTCACACAGTTTTCGTTAATTTTAGACTAAATGAACACAATTTGGTTCACATCTTATTCAAAATTTTAGAACAAAAATAGACAGAAGTTCATATCGGGAAAACTAGAGATCAACATTCCAAGGGTTAATAAAGGTGTAATTCCAATGGAAGAAATACATAATTTGGTTCATATGGCTTTTTATTAATTATATCAAAAAGTTTTGAAACATTCTGTTGGAAACATCATATACTGTATGATAAACCATATTTGCTCAATTTGAAGCGCATCTCTTAAAGAGGTGCACCTAAGCCAAAAGTGTCATTTACTATATACTGGATAGTTATAATACAAATTATTAATGATAGACACAGCTCTATCATTCAGGTAAGTCCATGCGCTACTAATAGAGCAAATACGGTAGTCACGCTTTCATGGTTTGAGATTATGAATATAAATTTCATATCTTTCTTGTTTTGATCAGTGCAGACGGTACAATGATGTCAATGCACTACAGGTAGTCTGCCTTAAACCAACAAATGTCAATATTCCACAGCAGACGATAAAAATACATAATTTAACACAAATTTTGAGACAAATCTTACCTGACTAATTTGTTCTACAAGTTCCTCTTGGCTAGCTACATCAAGACCTGAAAAATTGAATTAAAGTAAAAAAAAATATTCTATGACATCATAGCATTCAGATGACCGCTTCACATAGCGATGTAAAAATAGAAACAAAAATAATATTATTAAATATTGATGTGAATTATATACGGCTCTGCGCATTAATTTATAAGATGATTGTCAATTAAAATAAGACATCCTTGGACACAACAATTTATTTGTACAATGTTTGTGATGGAAACACACACTGGCAATCAATAGATTACTTCTGCAGTTCATATGAAACAGGATAAGAAGAACACATGGGGTTCTAGCAACTTTAATAAATAAAACCATATGTGCA